AGTTGCCATTGGAAAACATTTCCTTCCCCATTTTAATCTACATCATTTGTTCATCTTTTCACATCCTTAGTGTATTTTCTTGGGGTACCAAAAGAGCCTTCTAAGATTTGGTTATGATAGGTTTTGTAAACTAGTTGATTTATAATCTGAATGGAAACCCTAACTGTTCAATAAACATCCTTGATTGCAAGCATGTTCATTTTACAGTAGATAAATGATTATAAAACACTTTTGAGGGATTACACAAGCATGAAAAGGAATAGAAACTTGTTTTACTCCTTCTCCTGTCTTAGGTTCACCACTGTGTAGTATGTAATAACTAACCGGACATGCTCCCCTGCAGCCTTGAATATTACAGCTTTCTGATCAGGGTTGGGTATGGGGTAAATGTTTGTTATACAGCAGGGTCTATGGAAAGTCCAGCATAGCTGAATTTTGAGTGACTGAGGTAGCTTGGCTCCAGAGTTGTAGTCTCTCTCTGTCTCTCTGTCAATGTTTGCTGTATTGTACAAGGAAATAATTGTAATGTATAGGAGTACATCCCACTGAGTACGTGGTATCCTGTTTCTGTTCTTCAGTGACTGAAACAGAGGCATCCTTTTGATCAAAACATAAGTGCAGCTAAGAAGGAATTTTAGTGCTGGTAAATGTTCGGGCTGCACGACAGCCCTGAAAACTTGTATTTATCTACAGCAGATGGAGCACTGGAAGCAACGTGGTGTCCAGTGTGCTCTAGACGGATTGTTTCCGAGTGAAGGGAGGAGGTGCTTTTATGTTTAAACCCTTGCTAAGGGTGCCGGTTTTATGGTTGCTGGTTTTTGTCTTACAATCTCCTGACTGAAGACTCGCTTTTAATTAAGAGGAATTAAATAACCTTTGAACAATGCTACCTCTGGAACCCCAAGAGAGAATTAGTGCTTTCTCCTCCCAGGAACTCAGGCCTGGCAACTTTTGCTTACTGCCCGGCATCCACAACCGTGGCAACCCAAGGATGTCTGATTTATAGGAGGAAGTTCTGGCTATGTTGACTCTTTGCTGCTGGAGCTGCCAGCTTTTTGAAAAACACCACAGAATTCTTAAAGAAACCGGGCTGCATTCATAAGCTTCCAGCTAGCACTGATGTTGCATCTGTATGCCAGCGTCCCCCCCATGAAGATTGGTTACAAGTCAGAAAGAACATTTATCCCTGATGAGGATGCTGCTTTTGTTTCTGTCACATTCCCATTTTATCCCCATACACACTTCCAGATTTGGGGACTCCCTATACCTACAAACAAATGGCACTGCCCTGCATACATGTATTGCCCCCCTAGTATACCAAAATATTTATGACAGGCCTTGAAGCCCGTTTCTGCCACAACTGACCTCCCATCCCCCTGATATGCCTAAGATACATTGATGATATCTTTGTCATATGTACACATGGGAAGGAATTTCCATAGAAATTTCAACAAGACTTTAACAACCCCCACTCATCCATCAAACTAACTCTGGAATACTCCACCCAGCAAATTCATTTAGTGGATGCATGGTGAAGGTTTCCAATGGCCACATCACTACCACATTGTATTGGAAACCCACTACCTGCCACAGCTACCTTCGTGCCATCAGCTTTCAGCCTAAGCACACCAGTAGGTCCATCTTCGATAGCCGGCTTCTGTATTACAACCATATCTGTTCTGATCCCACTGACCGGGAGACATATCTTAAGGATATGGTATAGGGATTCCTACAGTTATGATACTGCAGTGCAAAATAACATTACAGCCCCAGAAACTGTAGCCACTCAAATCCAACAAAGCTAGACTCAGACATTTCTCTGACCTGCTACAACATCAACCCCAAGGGAAGGACAACAGAATCCGTCCAGTTGCCACCTACAGCCCCTCTAGCTTGAACACTTCTAACCCCTCCTGGAAAAGGGCAGTCACTTCAAGGTAGCCATGCAGGACAAATCTGTCTTGGCTTATAGGCTGCCCCACCAACCTCAAACAATCTCTCTCAAGCAAAAGACTACCTAACTCCTATTCTTACCGAGGCATCTGGCCCCGCATTCAACTCAGTTGCAAGCTGTGCCCTCTCATCAGTACAGACCATGTTGTCACTGGACCAGATGGCAGATTATAACATCTGAGTTCACCTGTACCTCTACCAGCATCATATGCCATCACCTGCTTACAGTGTCCTTCTGCTGTCAACACTGGATAGATGAGGCAGTCCCTGTGTGGGAGAATGAATGAACACTGATCTGATAGCAGTGCCAGAAAGAGGCACAAACCTGTGGCAGAACGTTTTAGCCTCCCTAGATAGTCCATCGCTGACTTCAGAGTAGCTGTTCTTAAACAACCCAAATTTAAAAAACGAACTTGAATGTAAAACTGTGGAATGAGAAATCATCCACAGACTGGATTGTGTTAAGTATAGTCTCATCAGGGACTACAGATTCTTTTCCCATCACCTGGATTGGTTTTCATATCCTTTTTTGTCCCTGTGGGTTTATTGTTTGCCTCTCCCAGTACCACTCGTCCCTCCTCCACCCTTTCCCTGTTTTGCATTTAAATCTCCCTTTCTCTTTGACACAGGGCTCTGTGCCTGTCCTTTTACAGCATCTGATGAAGCAAGCTTGGGCTCATAAAAGCTCATGCTATACACCTCTGATTTACCTAATCTGTTAGGTGCAAATCTACCCTACCTTTGCTGGCTTTTGTGACATGACTGTTTTGCCCTGAAAGTGAAATGAGACTGCCAGTCATTTCACATAATCTTGCTCTATTGGTCTTTCAGTCATTACAAAGGTTGGTTGCATTTGACCTGACAGTCAAAAATTAAAACTACTGTCTAATCTGCTGTTGGTTCCTGGAAGTGTAAAGACTTCTAGACCAAAGAGTTATAATCTCAGGCTTGGGGAATTTCTGTGGGCTCTGGAAAGGTAGGAAAAGGAAGAACACCACTGTGAGCTGTCCTTAGGAAGGTTACTGGTTTTTCAGAGTGTGGTTATCTGAGAGGTCCTGGGATGGTTTCTGTCAGTCAGATGTATGTGAAAAGAGGCATTAATAATTTTGGCTCATCTGCTTTCCAGAGAGGTGACTTTGGTTGTTATTAAAATGTTTCTGGCAACCAACCTTGGAAGTCTTCAAGAGGAGACTGATCCCAGCAAGGTGTCTGTGCATTTGCTCTCAGCAGTGTTCCTGCCCAGAGCAGGGGGGGTTGGACTCGATCTTTTGAGATCCCTTCCAGCCCTTGATTTCTATGATTTCTGTGGTGGTGGTCTTGCTCTCTTAACTCATGCATCATTGTTGGCTCTCTAGGCAAAGGTGACAACACATTTCCAAATGTTGAAACAGAACTTGGATAAATGAAGAGTTAGACCCATAAGTTGTGACTAGGGAATGAAATCTTTACTGAGCCACCAATAAGAGCCCATAATGCTTGCAGGTTGTCTGGAAGCTCGAGTGAACTTCTAATATGGCTTGTTGGGTCACAAAAACAGACTCGCCTCTTTCAAAACCACACTGTACACAGCCTGGGAAATGCTCCTTGGGGAATGCCTAGTTTCTGAAAGCCAGAAGATTCCTAGAAACGAGATTTTTTCCCCCAATCAAGTTTCCATTTCTTTACAGATGACTTGGAGATATAGGGAACTGGTTGGAGGAGAGATGACCCTCATTTGACCTGGTAGTGCAGTTGACTTCAGTATTGTTATACATAGCCTGCGGAGGATTCGAAATGTCTGTTTCTGGGCCAACTTAAAATCATACAAATTGAAGATCTTTTCTGTTAAATACTACATTGCAAATACGTTTAACTTGCGGGTTTGCCTGCTTGGTTGTTTCCTAGCTCTGGAAATGCTCAGCTTTGGCTGACCAGTTGCATTTAAAAACTTGTCCTGTATCTTGCTGGTTAAATTGGCTTTCACTGAGCAACAGGAAAGCATCTGTATTTGGAGAGCACAGGTGTCTGTATAGGTCACTTCCTTTCTGTCCAGGCCAAAAGCCATCTTGTCAACAAGTCAAGCTGTGAAGTATCCTTCCCCCTTTCCATTTCCTCTGTGTTGTATAGTTGCTCTCAATACAATGGCACCACACTTACCCAGCCACTAATGAATGTAACACACAGTTAATATCTTCAAGCATGGAGGCTTGTGAGGCTACCAAAATGCATAACTCATCCTGATAGGCATCTGGACTTGAAGTCAAAATATTTTTTTTTGATATGGGCATTAAGGTTGTTGTGAATTTTAGTATCTGCTGGATTTTGGCCACATCCTAGGCTCTGCCATGTTTACTGTGGTCTCAGAGTAGCCTTAATGTTTAGCGAGAGCACTTGTGTTTATATTCTTAAGTTAATTTACTTTTAATGTTTCACTCAAGCCTTTGGGCCTTCTGGTTTTCTGGAAAAAAAAAAACTTCATAAATGGTTTTGGATCAAAAGTTTGTGTTTATGTATGTTTTTGGAAGCTTGATCAAATGCATTCAGCTGCATGCAAATTGCCTGTATGAGGCAGGGAATACATTGTTTTTATTTCTGAGAAGAGTAAAAAGAATAAGAGAAGGAAATGATGTTGTGCATAGAGTTAGGAGATGCAGGGCATTGGGGTGTCTGGTTTAATGAGAACTGTAGAACCATAGCAAACTAAAATTTGTTCATTTGCATAGATGGCAGTTAACTGAGGTTTCTTTGAACGGTGGTATTTTAAGCTGTGCGTTGACATCTTGTAATTGTGAGAATTATCAGAAGACAAATCCTTTACTTGAATAAGTGGAATCCTTTTATTAGGGCAGCTTTGCTTGATAAACTGTTCTCTTTTTCACAAGCTGAGTGACTAAACCTACAGGATCAAATACAAAGCAGTTCTCTAGCTGTATGCTAAGAATCCCTTTTCCTTTTGGTATATTAGCGTAAAAGTGTGGTAGATGTTACATCCTGGCTGTGTATACAAAATGGAAATGAATCTGACCTAAATCACTATGAACTGAAGTCTTCTGCATTTTGTTTTTCAGGGTCTGAAATTTGTGGTGACAGAACATGTCTCAGTTGGGTGAAAAAGTAAAGGTAAAGAGATGCTTGCATAATTAGAATTTGACTTTTTAAATAGCTTTTTGTTGAACTCCTGAATCTAAATCTGTGGTCTCCAGTCTTTTTAAGCACAAGATCACTTTTTGAATTAAAATGCAACTCAGGATCTACCGCAAAGAAAATGTAGAATTAGGGTTACCATATTTCCATTTCCAAAAAAGAGGACACCTGTGGGCAGGAGGTGGGGGGGAGGGAGGAGGAGGAGGGGAGGGGTATCTCATGAGTGGGGGGGCAGTGATATGCCCATGCCCAGCCTCTGCCCCTCACTCCTAAGCCCCTGCACCCCCAGCCCTGCCAGTGTCTGCCCTGCCCCCCCCCGAGCCCTGCTATCCACGCAGCGCTCTCTCTCTGTCTTTTACCTGGGAGTTTGCCAGGGCCTGCATGCAGACCACGTGACCTCTGACAGCCAATCACCTTGCCCGCTGCTCTCAGCTGGAAGCAGCCAGCCCAGAAAAGCAGAGGCAAAGCAAAAACCCAGACATTCGTTTGCATTTCAAAAATCTGCCTGAACACGAGGGCAGTGTCCAAAAAAGAGGACATGTCTCGGAAAACCCGGATGCATGGTAGCCCTAGGACTGAGACTGAGATTGACTGACTGACTGACTGACTGTCAGAGGCTCCATGATTGACCAGTCAGTTGTGATCTACCGGTTGGTGACTACTGAGCTAAATCATTCATATTAGCAGTTTAACAAACATGACTGAAATGAGTTCTCACTTGGTAACAAACAGGGCTAGCTGTGATGCATTGTGGTACTGTTTAACCACTGTGTTTTCTTGGGGACGCGCAGACCACATTGTCCAAGGAGAGCTGGCAGCATTTCCCAGAGCACTAAGGGAATTTGGGACTTCCAGACTACTGGAGGAAGGGGTGTATGTCAAGGTCTGCCTAGCAGAGGTAGCAGATAAGTGCTTGACTGTCTGTTTTTATGCTATTTGTATACATCTTCACAGGTTTGATATAGGATCACATGAACCTCATTTAAGTTTTTCTTTTTTTTCACTTACATTTAACTTTTGTTTTCCTTGTCAGTTTTCTGATGCAGCAGGCTATGTTGGATTTGCTAATCTGCCTAACCAGGTCCACAGGAAGTCCGTAAAGAAAGGCTTTGAATTCACTCTAATGGTGGTTGGTAGGTGTCATCTTTAATGGCTTAAAGTAGTAAAATAATCGTGCAGGTGAAGGTGGCAGCTATTTCTTAATTAGTTAAGAACAGGTATGTGGAAGGAAATAACTTTATAATAGTGTAATCTAGTTTTGCAGTCTTGTTTTCTAGGTTGTTTAAAACGGAGTACTCTTTTAGTGGTTAAATCTTGTAACCAAGAGCTAACGGCTCGGTGTTCCATTCCTGGCTCTTCTACTGGCGCTACTGTGATTCACTGTTTCATGTTAGAGAAAGTCACATAATTTCTCTTTGACTTCATTTCCCAGACTGAAAATGGCCATCATTGATTCTTGGAGCACAGAATATATAGTCTGAATATACAGTCAGAACCCATAGGCGTTATAACATGTATTCTAGTAAATGTTCAAACTGGCTACTATTAACTTCAATACATTTTTCAGTTCTCTTTTGAAGTGGTGCTAGGACTTTCCTTTCGTTCATTTTTGGGGCATTTTTCACCTAATAAAGGACAAAAGACAAAAAATGAATTAATCCGTTATAATACCTTTGGGTCTTGACTTTTGTGCTACTCTGCATAGATGTTAAGTTTAAACCTGGTTGCCAGCTGTGCTTAACCTCAGTATAAGAAACTGTTTCAACTTCCATCTCTAGCCTTGGAAAACCTTCAAGGTGGCAAACACGCAAATAGGAATGTTATGGTTTCTTTTAATTTAACATGGCTGCAAACCTTTCCCCTTTATTCAAAACTTGGTCATTTTGGCTGCCTATAGACATGCTCTGACACCTTCCAAGTAGAATGTTATAGTGTTGACTTAGCATCATGTGTATTAAGCCCCTCACATTTCAAAATGGCTGCGGGGGCACTTTAACTAACCCTTGTTAAATGAGGTTTAGTTAAAGTGCACCTGCAGCTATTTTGAAATGCAGGGAGTTTAATACAGGTGACACTAAGCTGTTTTAATTAGAGTGCCTGTCCAGGAACCACCCTAATTAAAATGCCTGTCCCCACCAACCCCGCCTCTGAGCTTATGTATAGGCAGCCTTTATTTTACATTATTTCTGTTGGTAAAGACATACTTTATATGACCTTTTAGCTTACATTGTGTAATCTATTTGATTAAATTTAGCAGTTTCATGCAGTATATTTATGCAAACATCAAAGGCTTGTTTTTCCTGTTTTTCTCAGCATTGTTGGGCTGAGTATTTGATGTCTTTATCTTAAAAGCTAAGGTGGACCTTCAGCAGCCAAACTATTTTTTACTCCATGTAGTAGACTTATTGAGTTGCTTAAAGAAGGATTGGGGTAAGGGGGAAAAGATGGATGAATACATTTCCTTACCTGAATTTTGGTTTGCAGGTGAATCTGGCTTGGGAAAATCTACCTTAATTAACAGTTTATTCCTGACTGATCTTTATCCAGAACGTTATATTCCAGGAGCTGCAGGTAAATATGATTGTGTTCTCTTACTCCTTGTGATAATTCAGTGAGGCACACCCACTCCAGCTTTATTAACTTTCATATTCTTCCTGTCACTGTTCCACCATTTAGGCTAGGGACAGAAGTTGCACATAAACCAGTTTAAGTGATCCGAAACTGGTTTAAACCTGTAACAGAACAGAAGTTCAGTGCACATAAACCACTTTCAAAATGGCTGAAACCGGTTTAAGATAAACCTGGTTGGATGTAGTTATCAGACACATAACTGACTTGGGCAAACCAGTTTATGGAACTTCTGTCCCAGATCCCTTCCCAATTCATTTTAACTCCCCAGCATCCCAGAATGTTTTGCAGTCCTGGGGTGTGCTGTCTGCTCCAGTAGGGCAGGGCTGACCTTTCCCCCAGCTATTGCAGAGCTAAGGGACTAAAGCCTCTGTTCCCTGCCAGCACCTGTCAGCCCAGCAAGGGAATGGACCCCTAGACCCACCTATCTATACAGGACAAGGGGAAGGAAAGCTCCAGCAGTGGGGGCTTTTTGCTCCTACAGCAGCTGGGCAAGTGTGGTTGGCATCAGCTCAGTCCCACCTCCTCCCCAGTCTGTGAGAGGGGGCAGGGTGGCAAACCACACTGGCCTGGCCCTGGTGCTCCCCTCTTCCCTGCCAGCTGGGTTTTGCCCGGCACAGGAGGAAAGCCCCCAGCAGGGGCTTTTTGTTCCTCCTGCAGCCCAACCCCGTCCCATTCTCTTCCCCCCCCCCCCTCCAATAGGAGGGGAAGAATAAGAGGGGAATGAATT